ACTGAATGTGAGGTTGAGGCCAAGTAAGACAGTGGGGCCCCGACGTTAACTACTTCTTTGTGATCCCTCGGTGCGAGGATATCCTCTGCTATAGACTTCTACATCCTTCCTTGTCAACTCTGCTTTTCAGATTCAGATTTCATAATGCTTGGCCGCCTGCCAATGGTGTTTCAGTGACAACAAAAGTTGTGCTTAGATGATGCCGTTAATCGATGGGAATTGCATATGCACCCAATTGAGCCCGGATGTTCTGAAATCAAATGCAACAAGCGTTGCATATACGGCATTCATCCAGCCCCACCTCAGAAATATCTCTCCTACATGTACACTATATTCATTATATGGTTCAGACAGCCAAATCAAATCAAACTGAAATTGGTGGTTTGATATGGTGTTTAACCATTAAACACTTATCGATCAAATTTAGATGATACTTATCAACATTTCAGTTTGATTTTTAAATCATGTTTGTTATTTGGGTTTTCTAATTGGATTAAGCTCAATAAAATGATCCAAACTGTATTAGAAACTGAAAACAAAAAGGCCTAGTCTGGTTGATTTCTATATTAAAATGGTTTGGTCTGATTCAGATCATAATTTCCTGGTTTTGTCTGAGATTTTCTCCAAACCATATTGGACTGGACCATGAACATCCCTACAACGCCCATGCTTGAGTGCGTGCGAGATACCGTCTCATTCCAATCCATCACCTAACAAAAACAAGAAAGAATGATTTCGATAATTGCCTTGAAGCTTTGCGGAGAGCAACAAAGCCTCATCAAAGCCCTTGTTGTACTCAAACAACCCGAGTAAAAAAAAAAAAAAAAAAGCAAATAAGTAGCAACCTACATTTCCCAGGAAATAAGCTCGTACTGCATAGTCTGCATGGCACTACCATTTTACCTTTCTTCACACCTTTCTCCGTTATAATACATACTGCTACTGGTTGTATTCATAGTTTCACTTGAGTTGCTTTCTCAGCTTCAGACTTCATAATGGATTCTTGCCAAGCCAAGGAAGAGGATTGTTTGGCCTGATAACAAGATGGATGATCACGTGAAAATATTTCAGAAGAGGCAGGACCATTCCAGTAGGGCGTGGGCCTCTTCAACGTTACCTTCTGTTAATCTCATCTGACATCTCTAATAAAAGGGAAAGAGAGGTTGGATGAAATTTTATCATCAAAACTTCTACATTGGTGGACCGGGGTGTTGGACCGTTTCTCTTTGTCATTTGCAGGTTTATCTTGGGGTTTAAAAGTGTTTCATTTTGTTTGGCTCTTCATGTTTGTCTAGGGGTCATCTCCAATGATTAGGGGCATCAATGGATCAGGTTCGGGTTGGACCTAGTCCAAATCAAGATCAATTTTAACGGACTGAATAAACCAATAGGATGTATTGAATTGGACCAATCCAGACTTCATGGTCCAAAGCATTTATTGGATTTCCATTTTTAATGGATTTATATTGGACTGGGTTGGATTGAACCAATATCTGATCCATTAACACAAGTATGAATGTCAATGGACCGGGCTCACATTGGACCTAATCTAAATTAAAACCAAATTGAACAGTTTAGAGACAGTCCAGGCATTGAATTGGACCAGTCCAGAATGGTCCCAAGTATTTATCGGATTGGATTGGACCTCATCCATCTGTAATGGATTCATTCTAGACCGGATCAGATTGGACCAATATCCGGTCCATTGACAGCTCTATCCATGACATGTTTCAAGTACACGGCCCTACATTCTAATCTAGATCAACTCGACCTTCCGGCTGAGCATTCTCGTAGGGATGGCTGTTAGGCATGAAGATCTCTTTCACCTCTAGCTTTACAGACTAAAACGTGCCAGCACTTCCATGCGAGACTGTACAATGCCCCATTACAGTTAAATTTGTCACAACTAATATCCATGATGGAACCCAATTGTTGGTACTTGGTAGGCCCCAATCCTCTGAATAAAAGACAAATGGCAAATTAAGCCCCAGTCTGCTGTGTATGATAATATGAGCTTTCCACCCTAGACCAAGCTTTCACCCTAAGTCTCTGTTTGTTTGCATTTGCATTGCATTTACAGGGGGATTCAAGGGGTGGAGACAGGGGGCCCACTGACCTTACCACTGATAGCCTGCAGGTAGGGCTGTAAATGGGAGGCAATTGTTGGAATTCGAATTCAACCTCATTAAGAGTGATCCCAATTTGATCCGTTAAAATTTATATTGTATCTATTAATGAAGTTGATTCGGATGTAGTGGTTTTTACTAAATTTTTCATATGTTTAAGTTTTATATAAATAAATTTTAATTAATTTTGTTCATAACATATAATAAAATTCAATGATAGCTAGAATTCAAATATATATAAATCAAATTTAGACACGCTTATATCCAATTCGTTGGCAGCCCTATTGCACAGCCAATATATATTGGGAGGGATGCTGAATGACCATCTCAGCTTCTGGGCCGCCGGCTGTCCACTAGGGTGACCGTGAATCCATTTTTGTTTCAGACTTGACCGTCTTGCTTGCTTGTGAGAAGTAAAATAGTAAGTAAATTGATGTTGTAATCCCCACTAGTTTTATATGAAAGAGAATGGAAGCAGGGGAAGAGTTATTTATTAGGGAGTAAGGTAGGAGGCAAAATGATATAGCCCCAACTTTACATAAAGAGATAATTAAAGCATGGTGGTGCAAATTTTGGATCAGATTTTTAGGCTCAGTTTGGGAAAGTGTAAATACACATGTACAATGCAAATACAAGTTTTAAAAGACTATATACAAGGTTTTGCACTGTACATATTTGTATTTATACTCTTCCCAAACTAAGCCCTTGTATATAAATTTGCACTGCCAATGAATGAGACCCCAAATTTTGCATTAGGTAGAAGCGAATATCATACTAGAAGCATTCAACATGAGATCAAAGGTATCCTGATCCCTATATCTAATATTGATGATTCACGCTTCTGGAGTGTGGACCATGAACATGAAGAGAGTTTTTGGCTGTGTTGTGTGCATTACCAATACGCCAGAAGCCTTAGACTGAAGGAACGTGTCAAGTCAAACACTTTAACCATTTAGGACTGTGACACTATGTTTAGTTTGAGAAAATGAGAAGAGAAAGAAAAAAAAAAAAAAAAACACACACACAGAAAGCAATGAGATAGTTTCTAAGGAATTTCACAATAATTTGTTAAGATTTTCCCTCAGCTTTCTATTTTTCTTTTATTTTCTATGAACCAAAACATAGCCTTCAGGTGAAATCGGCTTAAAAACCGATAATCGAGAGTAATTTTTCTATTAACTTCTAATAGAATGTTAATACAGTTTATTAACTGCTACCCAAAATTCACTTTTTTCTTTGGCTTTTACTAGGAAAGAGATAAACCATCGACCAGAGTGATAAATAAAAGAAGGTTCGACTATGATATCAGAAAAATGTCTGACCAATCAACTGGAATCATAAACATGGTAACCAATGAGGTGTTATTTATCAAAATTCATGGGTGTGTTTTGATTGGTCATAACTCTTTCGATACCATGTCTTTCCCGTATCATAAATTTTCCCATAAAATAATGAATATACCTACTGCTGTGTGCCCCATTTGCCAGGATGTGGAAGAAGATCAGGATTCAAGAGCACTAATTTAAAAATTGTGACCTAGCCAAGCAAATCTGGATCACGATTAGGGATCATAGCGTTGGCTCTTTAATTCAGATGCGTCCATTGTGGATTAATGGGTCAATATGATAATTAACCTAAGGCATGAACGATGAGAATTATATTGGGAGAAAGTTGCCTTTATTCTGTTTGCCCAGAAATGAAGTTGATGAAGATTTTTAATAATTCGGACCTGAATCCTCCCCAGATCATTGGAAAAGCGACCAAAATTCTATTGATCATCACAGCATCAGGCCTGGGAAAGAAAGAGTATGTGGATCAAATGGAGGTTTAGACTAAAATTAACTTCAACACATCTAGAATCCATAATGGCCTCACAGACATTGGTTACAATAATAGAAATGCATGGAAACATACAGGAGTAAAGGCGAGGCAAACAGGATTTTCTTCAATCACAACTGCAGTAGCAACTGCACCAAAGAGGAGCACGTGTTGGGAAAAGAGATAGGAGCTACAAGTTTGGATTGAAAGTGATTCCAAGATAAGCACTGAGGGACCAAGAGGAACCTGCTTGGTACCATGGATTGATAATCTTTTCAAGGACTGCAAGAACATGGTAGAGGAGCAATCACAAATTCACAATTCAAGTACAGCCACAGTCGCATAGAAGAAAATCAGGATGCAGACTGGTTGGCTAGCATAGGGCATCAACTTGAAATCAATAATGTGAATAGTGTTCCAGAGAGAGAGGGAGAGAGGGTGGTAAACCGAACTGGGTAGAAAATTTTTACCCAGTTCAGATTTTCACTGTAAACAAACAGAGCCTAAGGGAACTGCCACCCTGACTGAAAATTTAGGTTGACTGAGTTTGCCATGATTGGAAAACATGGAACCAAACCAACATTTGTTAAGGCTAGGCTTTAAGTTTCCCACATTACCAACCTTTCTTGTTAACTTGGCTTAAACCAGACCAGACCTAAACCATTCAGGTCAATCAGCTAGTTTTTACAAGCAGGGAAATTTGGTAGTATTCTACTCTCTAAAATGGCCTTAGGCCCTATCCAACTTGGCCAAGTTGTACCTCTTAAGTTTCATTCCGAGCAGGAAGTATAGTAATGCTCTCTACTCTCTAAAAGAACCTATCCAACTTGGCCAAGTTGTACCTCTAGTTTCATTCTGAGCAAGGACGTTTAGTAATGCTCTACTCTATAAAATGGCCTTAGACCCTACCCAACTTGGCCCAAGTTGTATTCCTAGTTGCATTACCTAGTGCCGGATTCATAAGCAGAATAGCCCCAGCATGCTGCAGTGACCATACCATGGAATCAAGAAATTAAACCTTTCTATGATGATTACAAATACCACAAACACATGAAATTTTTGACAGCAAGCGCCTATGGTTTGAACCCTGAAGCTTGGAAGTCGGGTCCAATCTCCATAACTGCATACTTACATTATAAGCAGAAGCATGGCCACACATATCCCAGTCCAGGTAAATTATTGGCTCTCAATATTTAGACAAAAGCATATTTACTAATATAAAAGCTACAACCTACAATATTTAAGACAATCTATCAACAAAATGGCTTAAGATAACAGTACTTACAGTATTCTCTGACCAGGGAGAACATGTGGTTCAAGGAAAAACATACCATATAGCAAAAGGAACCATTCTCATTTTGTAGCTTCAATTTCACCTGAAGGTACAGCTGCAGCTGCCCCATTTGCAGCATCTTCTACACGTAGCTGAGCAGATACATTATCAATGGCAGAGTTCAACTGTTCTATCTTCTCTGTCAATATCTTCCTTGTTTTCTGTGGTTAGAATAAATAGAAATATGGTTAGCACTATGAGAGTATGCACACAGCAAAACAAAAAAAAAAAAAAAAAAAGAAAGAAAGAAAGAAAAGAGTCCATGAATTTGGTTGCGATCAGTTTCATGTGGATAATGTGAATAGCATATAAAAGATTCTTCCTCAACTTTAGAGGGTGGGAAGAGTCTAGCCTGTGGAAGTTCTCAAATGAATGAAAGAGAATCAAGCAGCTAACTCAGAATATTTTTTTTTGATCAATCAGCTAACTCAGAATATGATTGTAAGGGTTCAATGGGCCAAGAGGAGCACTAATTCCATGGCTGACACCTTGGCTAAACAGGGGGTGGGAAGATCTAATTTCTTTTGGGCTATATTGTAATAGGTGTTTTCAGTTCTCTAAGTGAGGGTTAAGATGTCTTACCCCTCCAATCTGGTTGTAATTTCCATATATTTTTAATAAAATTACTGTTATTGATTAAAAAAAAAAAAACTTTAGAGGGTGGGAGTGTTTGAGAAAGAAAGCAAAACTACTTCTACAGGAGCCACTGGATTGGGTAATTTAGGACATTGAATTTGGCTACAATCATGTGGATACGTGAATATAAGTGCACAAGCCACAAAACAGGGTCTGGATTACCAAAGGTAACTCTGAAGAGCATATTAAACATTTATATTCAAGAAGATAGTTTTTAAGGCACCAAGGCGAGGCTAGGCGACGGGGCGCCTTGTTGCCTAGTCGCCTAGGCGATGGATTTTTTTTAAGTAAAACCATATATCCTAGGGTAGTTCCCTAGGTTCCATAACCATCTTTCCTTAATAATTATCCATAATTTTCATAAGAGAAGTATAAATTTCATGTTTTAAGTTTAGAAAATCAACATTTTATGAGAAGAAAAGGAACAAAGGAAAGAAAATTAAAAAAATATATATAGGGGCTGAACCCCTACTTTTGTTATAGGAAAAGAAGAAAAGAAAAGGTGGAAGAAGAAGATTTGTAAGAAGAAAATGTGTTGATTAGACAAAATTTTAAGTTCTTCCCTTGCTTCTTGGTTCAGGTTCTGAAATCTTTGAGGATTCAATCAAGGATCAAAACTTCAATACAATACACCCCGTATCGGGTGTATTGTTGTATCTTTGGTGCCCCAATACACATGTTTACAGGTGTTTTCGGGAACCCATTTTTTAAATTATATATATATATATATAAATGAAATTGAAAACCAAAGAAATAAAAAAATAGGGGGAGTATCATTATAAGTACTGATACACCTCTGCCAATACACAGAGGTGTATCGATACTTTGAACCATGGGTTCAATACAGCAGTTAGCAATGTTTGTGTTGATTAAACCCTAACAAATAAGAAAATAATAAAAAGTAATTAGTACATAAACACATAAAAATGAGTACTCTAGTTTAATAATGCCTATTTTATAATTATAATGTCAAAAAAATAAAAATATAAAAGTATTTTATAACATAGTGCACAAAACTACTTGGCGACTGGGCGAGGCAAGCCTCCAAAGGCGCCTTGTCACCTAGGCATCGCCTTGACAACTATGTTCAAGAATAATAAACATGATCAGGTGGCACTATTATTCCCTCCCATACCAGCATACCCTAGGCTTATTTTTCCCTTCATTAACCAGAATGGTTACTTAACATAATAAACAGAAGAGTTCCACTGAACTCAATGCAATAAAGCCTTATCTAAACTATTTGGCATTGACTGCTATGAATCCTGTTTCAACATTCACCATATCTAGGGCCTTATTCCCTGCTAAATTATGAGTTTGAGATAAAACAGAATATCCTTTTAAGTCCCTCCCATAAATTTTTTCTAGTTCGGCTTTTCCAAAACAGGATTTTCTGCTTGCAAATTAATATTCAGAACTTGGAATATATCTCTCCCCTACTTTTCAAAAATGGGCAATCATGAAGAGGAACAAATGTACCGGTATGAATAAGAATCCCTCCATGAGAGAACTGTTTTACTCAGCAATAGAATTCAGCCAATGGAAACTTGGCAATACAACTTTTCCAAAGGTAGATCACAGAGCAAAACTTTGGACTGTTGATAAAAAAACAATAATGAAAAGAAAAGACCTGTATATCTTCATATCATAACCTAATTAGGGTGTAGGAACCACTATTTTAAAAGGCGTGGGAGGCATACGCCTGGAACCACGCCTCCAGGCGAGGCACTCCCAAAACTCCCTAAGGTGTATGCCAGAGGCGCAGACACCTCTGAGGCGTATGCCAGAAGCGCAGACACCTCTGAGGCGTACGCCTCATGCGCTTTTTTCATGAGGCATATGCCAGAGGCTCGCTTCGCTCGCTCACCTCTGCTTCAACAAGACCTCCCCTTTCAACTAATGTTATTCATCTTTATTCTTCTTAATATAAAAAGATTTTTATTAAAAATAAAGAAAAAATGATATCCCCCCCTTCCTCCTTCCTCCTAACCCCCCTCCTCTTAAGGAGGCTTATGCTTCCTTGTGTTCGGGAGGCTTACGCCTCACGCCTCTGGGTAGAATCCCCAACAAACCCCTTGCCTAAAATAAAAGAAAAGAATGATCAAGGAAAATTTGAGAACAATCCCCAGCGGTCTCTAGAATAAAGTGTCCATGGGTAATCTCATGCTCATGGGCCATATCGAATATTTTGCAGTTAATCTTTGCAACATGCACTCTGTAGTATGAGCTGAAATTCATTCAATTAAAATACTAATGATAGAGTTGAAATTGAGTAAGTAAGCAATCAATAAACAACAGAGAACCAAAAAACATGTATTAACTACCATAACAACTGCAAATTTTTCAATTGTTTTTCCAAATATTTTACCAGCAATTGGATTGGCATAGCATATATTAAAGTTAAAATTGAGTGTAAATAAAACTAGTTAAACATAAAAATAGCTATTCCTGTTAAATATCCAAAATGTATAATGAACTCAACAGCATTTGCTCACCTCCAAGGCTTTTTCTTCGTCATAGATAAATTTTGGAAGCTTTTTCATCAAATCTTTTTTGTCAGCACCAGCTAGTGCCTTGCTGATCTGTAACATAGTGCAATTCCTTATAAAAATGTTTGATTGTCAATCCAACTAAAAGGACAACATGTTTAATAAATGAACTTTTAAGCAGGCTGTTGCCTACAATATTAATCCTTAAGAAATGTTCAACTGTCAATCCAACTAAAAGGACAGCATGTTTAATAAATGAACTTTTAAGCAGGCTGTTGCCTACAATATTAATCCTTAAAAAAATGTTCAACTGTCAATCCAACTAAAAGGACAGCATGTTTAATAAATGAACTTTTTAAGCATGCTGTTGCCTGCAATATTAATGATCACTCAAAAAGTCAAAAGCATCACATCAAACAAGCTGATAGGCCCCCAATTATCCTCACGTATGCCAGGAGAGGGAAAGGGCAGCGCAAGCCAGGTCAGCAGTCGGTTGAGGGAAATGTTTAGATATGCCAGCTGGGCATTGCTAGAGGAAGTTAGTTATGATATCAGGAGGGAATATTCTAAAGGGAGTTAGTTATGATATCAGGAGGAAATATTTCTGGAGGGAATTAGTTAGGATGTCAGGAGGGAATATTTCTGGAGGGAGTTAGTTAGGATGTCAGGAGGGAATAATATATGGGAATTTC